GCTGTCGCCTTACTTAATCGGCATCTGACATTCCACGTACTTTTAGTGATTATGCGACCCATTAACTGAAGTTTAGAGGCCTGACCACAGTTGCCTGGTTTAAGCTCAAACTGGGTGATAATCCCTGTGTTATTATTTATAGCGAAAGGGTTAGTATCTAATATTTTTAGCCAGCAACAGTTGAATAATTGCATCCTGGAAGACTATGTATGGTGCATTGATGTATTCTTTCTAAGTTTTCTCAGCTTCGCCGACGACAACAACATTCAGAAATTGCCTGTAAAAACGGCATGTGTTCGTATGATTTATTATTCGAAATTTATTATTATCATTATCATTACTCCCACCTGGACACGTAGGACGATATGTTGCACCTTTCAGATGAGCAGTTTCTGTGTAATACTGCGGCTTGCGAATGTTTGAGGCCCTAAGAACTGCTACCTGGGACCTGACTTCGTCCGTTTAGGACGGGTTTACCTATCGTTGTTGACCACCATTGGGTAGCCAGCGTTTTTAGTCACCAGCACGTCACTACCTCATATTTTTCTGGGCCGAATTCGCCCTCTTCAAACTATGACTGCGCATCTAAAAAGTAATGACTGCTGTATCATCACGGTTGTGAGACAAAGAAGGAAATACCTATTTATGGCATATGCAGAGGGTCAAAGTGGAGATTATAAAAATTCTTGTTCTCACATTATAGATTTAACTTGAGAGATACTAGTTTACAAGTGTCGTCAAATCGACAATACTTGAAAGATTACAAAAGTTATTGATGTCCATAACCTCATTATAACTTGCTGCAAATTATGATATGGGCATGCTCCTTCATCTGCCATTACACAAATAGGTTCCACTATCAAAACCAGAAGCACGCAATGTTCGAAGTTCCCGTTATATCCAGCCGACGTTGTTGGTACATCTGCATAGTTTGTTAGCTGGCAATACAACCGTACATTCATTTGAAAGTTTTTCAGTTTTTATCTTTGCTAACCATAAAGGACCAATTTATACTATCAGAAGTAACGGTAAGTATCCACAGTTATACAACCAAGGTGAGCGTCTAAATCAATGCATTTCCAGTTCACGATGTTGTGCTTAATGGCAATATGCATTAATCCCACTGGGAATACTGTAGTAGCAGGTGGAAATACGTGTTGAAACAGTTAATAGCCCAAACGACAGCAGTTATACATAGACTTCAGGCATCTTTCATATTAGCGTAAGCAGCAACATTCGAGAATGTTTTAATTACGGAACCTTGGACATCTTCGGCCGTAACATGACGGATTTGCTGGGCTGGGATATATCTTTGGCCTAACTCATTTACACGATTCTGTTTGCAGCAACATTTTGAGTGTACGATCATTCTGCACTGCTTATCTGCTCCTATTTTCATCTTCCTTCTAAGTGATTGAAAATATAGCCGCTACAAGGGAGTCGCAGACAGTCTGGCGGGAATTCCAGAACCGTGTCTACAAACCCTTACTTTTTGTCCACGATCTACCGGGCAATAAATTTCCTGCCGCTTTCAACGATCTTCTCCTTTTCCAAGGAACCGGAGGACCCTAAAGAGTAAACCCAAGGCCACTGATCAGAAGCCCATCCGTGTATATATATACACGCATGCGTAAACATACGTATATGACAAAGTTAAATCAACTGAGAACAGGGATTATGTCATGCATTCCTTTTGATCAAAATGAGTTTTCGATTGAGAACCGTGCGGAAAGAGTTGAACAGACGACCGTGAGAGTCACTGAGGTACTTGCCAAAAAGCTTCCGATTATGCGACCAGCATCAACATTTGCTGAACCTCAGGTACCTCACACCGATTCCCTTACCTTTTCAGTACAGGCCGTTAATTTGCTTCGTTTGCATTCATAATATTTGAATCATGGTTCAGAAAGCATGAAGACTTGTTTCCTGTTGACACCAAACTGTTTGATGATTCATCAAAAGCACATCTTCTCTTAAGAATCTCAGGCACTCAAAAGATGGCGGCATATAAATTCCATGTTGCCAAAGAATTCCAAAGTATAGCTCCTGATGAAACAGTCGAAATGCTGCCACAGATATTCGGGGAGCAGCTGTCTCTCTAGCTGATAGGACGAAAATGTTTGAATATTATGAAAGAACCAGGTGATGACTGGGTCAGACGCGTCTGCATTGCCGCCAAAGGGTGTGGACTCCTTAAACTTCCGTCAGTGATAGCAGATCAGTTCAAGTGTTCTCGGCGAGGCCATGGGGAGGACCAGTGAGAAATTAAACACCGAAATCAGCGCAGCTGTACCGCGAGACGCATTAGGATCACGGTGAAATTATATGTATCCATACGATTCGACGGGCAGCGTCTTCATCCCAAGCTCACCACAGTCCCGGATATAACACTTATCACCAGGCAATCATGACAGCAAACGGGTCAACTGAAAACTCACCTAACTTCTTGGGTCCTCCTCAGTGCCTCAAAGGCTCAGATGTTCAGCACTGATGAAGTACACTGTGTGTTATGCATGACAGTGTGACGTTTAATTGGGTACTCTACCTAACATACCGGCTTCCTTCAAATCTTTCTGGCTTAAGTTGGATAAGGAAACTATACCTCCCCAAAAAACAAAAAGCCTTATCTACAACCAGGCTCAAGTCGTAAAACAACTGAAACCTAACGTGTCACCACACGATAATCCAAAGGTAACGGGTGCGCTGTGAATGAAACATGCCACACCGTTCCCCGAGGGCTCTGAGGAGTGCACAAAATTCAGAGTTGTCCGTGTGCTCCACCAGTGGGTCAAGCCTGCGCCTCGGCCAGGGAAGCGTGTACCACACACAACTTCATCTGTAGTGGAGCAGAAAACCAACCGTTTTATGTTAATAAGTGTGATGGAGTCGGTTAAGTTTTCTGCATTGGCGGATCCACCTGTTGTTGTGAAAAAGCAAATATCGATGCGCGCCTTTCTGCAGACTGCCTTGCAAACCGAACCCTAAAATCGCCATTATCCCTTGTCAGTAAATGAAGATCTATATGCAAAGGCGAATGGTTTTACATGTTTTATAAAGTTTAACTAGTCCGAAACATGTTTACAAATTCCGGCAACGGAGGACTGCAAAATGATGAACGCCACCTCAGGCGGAAGTCACCATTCTTCAAGTTACAGCATAGTGGGTCATAAAAAAGCTCCCATTCTCGTTTTCACTTGAACGCCTCCATTTCATTCCCAGAGTCTACTAAACGGTTGAACTCATGTTGCTTTTTGACGAGAACTTCGTCAACTTTGTTGCAAACCAACAGAGTTTGCTCGACTTGGAGGACATCGTCTTCTGGTGCATCACAAGTAGCGATTCTGGGTCCACTGCTATTCCTTCCTTTTGTGAACGACCTTCCACCGAATCTTAGCTCCCTAATTCTCCCGTGCGCTGATGATGTTAAGTTATGGAGAGCTATGACTTCAGAAATGTAAAAATCAAATGCACTGCAAAGTGACCTCAGATTACTTACAGAGTGGGTGGATATTAATGGACTAGCATTTTAATCTGGATAAGTCCTGAGCCATGTTTCTCAGCACCCCAGACGCTCAGAAGGTACCCTAACCTTTTTGTGGAACACAACTTTCCCGCACCACCACCACAGAGAAAGACCCATAACTAATACTGACTGACAGACTAGACACTAGCTCCAATTACCCAGGAGATGCCTCCAGAGCCTACGCAGTACTGCTGTCATGCGCAGACGGCTGGGTGCCGTGACTCCGGAACCCTTTTTGAAACTGTACAAGACCTACATACGACCTCACCTAGAGGTCCACAACGTCACTGCACCACCATATCTAAAAAGAGACATGAACCCCTTAGAGTAAGTCCAAAGGCTGGCTGCAAAGGGCGTCGTGGGAATAAGGCAAAAACCCTATGAGGAGAGGGTGAAAGATCTGGGATTCTAGTCTCTAGCGGTTTACAAGATACTAAGTAACCCAAGTCATCTGAACAGTGGAATCCTACCGAACGGCCACTATGGTGATCCTCGTGGTAACTCAAGGAGAATCGCCCACCAAAGAGCGAAAATCACTGTGCTATCCCTTTTTTCTCTCTGCGAGTTTGCGGCCACTGGAACGCACTCCCTACCGAGATCGCTACTGCTCCGTCTGTTGACAGCTTCAAGAAGAGGTTGGACAGTTACGCAGCGACGCACGGCTTGAGCTCATCCAACTGGGATGTAGACTATGCTGACACGACCTGCTAACTCGGTACGGCCAACCTATTGTCGAATACTTTGTGATACCACTATCACTGGGACCCTGGGTCAGCCTTACGATTCCCTATGGACATCCACTCCAGTTACCGCCTGCTACTAACCGAATTACTGTCTTTATTCCAGTCCGTCTTATATTCTTATTTACTCTTCTTCCTACTGACTTTACGTTTCCTTTTTCCTAATCGTCCTTTTTATTTTTCTGTTCGTTTTTCTTTGCGCCTTCTCTCCCTTCATCTCTCTGGGCATATTTTCCATGTCCTTTTTACAACCAGTCCGACCAGTTGTCTGCTGGTACAATACTTGGGGAACCCACCTGCACCACAGTCCTTGGAAGAAAAAAACAAAACAACAACACTCCGTACTAATTTAACCAACAACCAACCACCCGTCGAACTAACCAGAGCTACAGCAGTCGAGCGGAGTCCACCAGAAACCTGAAACCGTTCCGCAAGACCTAGGAACAAGTGAGAAGAAATCAACTGGTTTACACTAGCTCGTAAAAAGATATTGGATATTGGAGGGAGCGTCCCATACCTTTTCCAGCCAAAGATTTGAGATATGCAGTTGAGAAGATGAAAAGCGGAATTAATTTCAAATTGAATGAATTTTTGATGAGGAGACCATTGCTAACGTTTTGTTTAACTACTCCAGTTAATTGTACTGTTCGGAGGACTTGTGTTGGCGCTGCGTTCTCTATGATGTTGGAGATATGATTTATTTTTTCAACCCTCTGAAGTGATAATATCTAATTCGTATGGCAGCAAAGTCAAGAAGACTCCTAAAAGTCATAGATGGCATTCGATCATGGAATATAAGCTCGTGCCAGTCAAACCCTACTTCAAAATCTGCAATCGACATTGAGGAATGTTTAAAATGTGATCATTTTCAGGTTGGAAAAGTGAGTATAACACCGTTTAATTTTTTGATGAATCAAATTTAATGTGCACCACCCGTAAAACTGCTGTATCTGACTTTTAGATCTGTCAGCATGGGTTCCCTTACCAATCTACATGTATTGCTTTTGATCCTGTACAACGAATTGTTGCAGTGGGTACGAAATCCGGATGTATCAGAATGTAAGTTATTGAATTCTAAATAGAACCCTGCCAAAGTTTTGGTAGGCCAGGTGTAGACTACAGCATATGTCATCCATCAGCATCCTCTGTCTTCCAGATATTTTTTCTTATTAATGAGGTAAGTGAAAAATGATCTTCAAACCCATGTGTAATATTAGCTAACTTATGTTCATTTTGTGACGCTACCTGTACATCTAGTTACAAAACGTTTATGAATTGCTTACACGTTTAATTTTTTTTGTTATAAGGATGATATTAGCTTTTTTCATTTTAGGTAACCGAACTACTGTGTTGTGCATTTAGCCTAACATCTATCTGAAATTTTAGCCTCATTGTATTTTCATTCATGGAAAATTGAGTTTTTTTGACTGATATTCCTGGATTGATTTAGAAACAAGTGGATCTGGTGTACGCGTTGATAACTATTGTTGCAGCGTGACTGTCTGCATGATTAATGTGGTTAATTTGTTTACCAAATATAGTTACATATCAGATCTTACTATTATCTCATGTGTTTGCAAGTTTTCAGCAGATAATGACCCAAAGAACTCAGCGTACATTTCTTTATTGGTAGACTGCATAAACTTCATTATCTTTCATACAATTGAAATTTTATGGAAAAAATAGTGGGAAAGGTGTAGATTGAATAGATTTCAGTTGTTGGGAAATGATAAGGTAGCATGGCGATTCAGCGGCATAAGACCTTTGGGGATCGTTAAGCAGTGCAATTATTATAGGCTCATACTATATATGTAGTCCTCGAAAACACTCTTAAATCACTCCTTTTTGACGCTTTTACTAACCTATTTTTTTTCCTGTACCACAGAGTTCCTCAAGGCACTTTACAACGTCAGTCAAACGATGGAATAGTGTGGGGACAAAGTGAAGATACACTATTTATGCAGTAGGAATAAGGATATTTCTAGAAGATGAATATTTATCCATTCGTGTCTTAAAGATCACTTGTAATATGTCCTCATAAAAATATATTACGTGTTGAGATTCGAACCAAGGGCTTGGAAGGTTAGCATGCAGCACAAGGTTGTTCTTACCAGTCTTTCTATAAGGTTCAAGGAATTACATTTTGTCTGGAATTCTAATAGGTTGCAGCCTCAGTAAACCATTGAATCACCTTAAATCTAAGAAAATGGCGTTTGGACAAACTACTTAAATTAGTCAGACGTTGATTAGTTTTGTAATGTTCTCTTGAATCAACGTTTGTTTATTATTCGCCTCCAAATACTAAGTATTTGATAGCTGAAACAAACTATAAACACAGAAATAAGGAGAAATACTCACAGAGTTCAGTAACCACAAGAACGGATGAAAAATCCATAACATATGCAACAAATGTTTGCAAATAATCGGCTATTTTTGATAGCATTTCTGTTTTGATTATCACTTCTGACAGATACAAAGTCCAGTTGGTCATATAACACACTCTGATTTTTGATTTCACGCTCGCAGTCCAACTTAAAGGTGTTAGTTAAATCATGAAAAGTAACTGGGTTTGAATCACTTGACTTTAAATCAATAATACTGAATCCCTTCACAATAACTTCCTTATTATAAATAACGTTTAGCATGTGTATCATGCATACAAAACACAGTTAGTTTAGTTATGGTTAGTATATGCTTATTCACTTATCGACTTGATGGTTAGGTTTGATTTCTCCTACATAAGAGCAAAACATATATAGATATCCTTGATATCCAAACAAAATAATAACAAAGCTTGTGAATTTAGCTTGTTTTAGCAGTTGTTTATTTGTAGCGTCAGTTAAGCCACTGTAAACATTAGGTGACATTTACTATTAAGTTTGACCATATTTATGTGTATTAAGTAGATACTCTGAAATATTGAGTCAAATAAGTGAGGAAGCAGATAATTATGATGAAGTGTGAAATTGATCCTGGTTGCTTTTTACCGATGGGCATTGGTCTTTTGGTTGGTTTCCGAAGTAGTTACTCAATGTTCATCTCTGTATAACATACATTAAAACATCTTGGCATCTAACGTGGTACAAATCCATCCTTTCACCAGCAGTAAATCAAAATCTTATACTTATTTGACACTATGTTGTGACAGGTGGTTTGTGAAAAGATTTCCCAAAAAGTTTGAAGATGAGTGACGAGGATCTCTAAATTAAGAGTCAACAAACTGAAACAAATGCGATGAATTTTACAGACACCATCTTTTCCTTTCAAGATGAACTATTTACAAGCGCAATCCATGTTTTTGGCAGAATGAACTAACTTTAGAGCTGAAGTTTATTCTTCGATAAAAATGTTAGTTTTTATGCGTACAAAGTATACATTACAGCGTCTTTCTGTCATTTGCAGTGTGTTTACCCGTTTAGCCATCATCATTGTGAACTTATTTACGTTGATCTATGATACATCATTGAGAAGTTTATGCATTGTGTAATGGATAAATGTATTTTAAGTTAATGCAAAGTTTACACACAACGATAAGTTTTTATTTTGGAAATATTTCGAAGCGAAGTAACTGCTTGTGATCGCGCCAACAGTTGGAATATTTTAGCCGTAATTTTGCTCAAAATATTACTAAAATAAAAAACCTGTCGTTGTGTGCAAACTTTGGGTTAAAAACCTATGATGTTTAACTAGTTGTATTAAAGTGCTTTCTCTTTCTAATGAAAAATCTACATGTCTTGAATCCCTGAAGGGTGGTCTGGTTTCCGTATGTGGCGATGACGTTGCTCATTTGTGGAACATACGACAAAAGAATCCAGAGATAGTTCACTCATTGCAGTTTAAGCGTGAACAGTAAGTCCCTTAAGTGTAAATTCTGAGTTTTTTGAAATTTGATTTATGACGTACTGACATGAAGGAGCTCATTATTAGCCGTTCGTTTCGAAATCAACTATATCACTTTAAGGACTTCATGTTGTAGTTTAATTTTTCATGCATTTTGTGTTCTTATTACTTCTCTGCGGATATTTTTTTTCCAGTTTTCAATGTACATAAAGCATGAGCTTCATTCGGTCAGATCGTCATTATGGCATTATTGTATATAAAATTCGGTGTAGTGGCAAGTCAAATAATGCCATCATATTACTTAGAAATATTTTTAAAATGGCAGGGGAAAAAAATAAGCAAATGGATAGGAATAATATGGTAAGGTGTTCAGTTACAATAGTAGCAAAGGAAGTGAGTACTAGTAAGTGACTGAGTTTCATCATGCACCAAAATGTCCAGCTATTCTAGACTACCCTCTGGGTGTAGCAGGTACGTCTATTAGGACTATAGAGTTTTCGGTAATGTATTCTACTTTTAATCGAGCCCCTTCACCCGTCAAATTAAATATTACCATTTAGACATTTGGAAAAAAAGAGTGGTAATCCATTTTTATACAGTTTTAGCAAATTGCCTCCGACTAGTTCTTAACATTTCAAACTCTCCCTATCATGTAACCGAAAAATGGCTAGTACAACCCTTGAAGTTTCTCCAAAAAACAGTCAGAAGCATAGTTTCAATGATACCTTTGGATCTGTTCAAAAGATTGAAAATCTGAAAGAAGATAACAAGTTAATGATATCGTGTGATGTTTCATCTCTTTTTATAAACGTTCCTCTAATAAAGACAGTAGACTTTATTTACAACGAACTTACTAAGTATGGCATGGAATTAGGTATTCCACCTTGAGAGAACTACTTCTGAGATGCACGATGGAAGCACAGTTCCTTTTAAACAATGAACTCCACAGACAATTTGATGGTGTGGCGATGGGGTCACCTCTTCGCCCACTCTTAGCAGATTTTTCTTGGCAAGACTAAAGAATGGTCCACTGAACGAAAGTATTATATTGTCGTTACATGGATGATGCCTTTATAGTTTTAAAAAGTGAAAGTGATAAGAACGCTGTTCTTAATAAGTGCAATAGTGTTTATCCGGCAGCCAAATTCACGATTGACGAGGAGCAAAATAACAGTATCCCATTTCTTGATATTCTGCCGGTAAGAAGGGTAGATGGAACTCTGGAACGAGGTGTATATAGAAAGCCAACATCGACAGGTCAACACACTTACTTTTTCAGTGCCGTACCCCTCCATTACAAAAGGAACCTGGTGAAATGCCTAGCATACTGCACCACGGCTATTTGTTTAGATGATGCTATAGAGAAAGAGTTCGCTACCATCCGTGACCTGCTTAGTAGGAATGGCTAACCAGCGAAGTTTGTAACTAAGCATATGAATGTTACTAAGGTTAAGACGAGAATGCCAGCAGTTCCTGAGAAGCAAATCTTCTTGAAGCTGAAATTTAAGAGTGACATTGACAGTAAGATCATCACACAACTCATGGAAAGAGCATTGCAGAAAGCACTCCCAGCCGCTAAATTATGTCCCATTCTCTAAAACTGTGGGATTCTAGGTGCAAGAAATAAAAACAAACTGCCTGGTTCTTCCACTTCTATATGCGCTTATCATTTCAACTGCTGCTGTGAAGCTAGTTACAATGGGCGTACAATGAGGCAGGTCAGTCGTTGAATTTCTGAGGATCACCCATCATGGTTGAGCAAGAAAAGAATTAGAACAATAAGGAGCTCTATACTCGCACACTTAGTTGACACTGGATAACAGGTAGATACTAGAAAAGCATTCAAAATTGATTTACCACATGGGTTACGCTTTCGCTTACTTCACATAGCGAAGGCGATTGCAATCCACCCTTACAAACCTAAGGTTTGTATTCATAAGAAGTTTGTTCCATCACTTTCATTACCGTGCCCCTCAGCATGATGATGTATTACTCTGCACACCTCTTCCCCTTTTTATTTCTATGAATATTCATTTACTTTCTTATTCTTATGTAATTATTTATTGTTTATGACTGAACACTCGTTGAAAAGCACTCCATTTACTCTACCAGCTACTATGCATTTTACCTAGCAATAACCTGTTTCACACTATTATATTGATTATTTGCATATTGACTTTTCAAAACTTATCTTCATGACTTATTTAAATCTGTAATTATTGTTCACCAACTCCCACTCCACTTGATTGGCATTTTCACTGAACTGTAGACTTATATATTAGTGAAGACCCAAAGACGAAGACCTGATTGAAAAGGAATATATATTTATTTGCTGAACCAGTCATTTGTCAAAATGCCAGCCACTGTTAATTCCTTTGTTGCTTTCGTTTGTGTTGTTTGTCTGAAACGTCTTACTTTCTGCTAGTTAAGACTGACCATCACTTTTAAATTATTTCGACAGATTTCTTTAAGCGTTGCTGAGTCTTTTTCAGTATTTACTTTTGTGTTCCCAAGTATCTACGCTATTGTTTTTAGAATTGACTGCACATTTTGTCGAGGAAAGTAGAGGCAGGTAGTAAACCACGGGTGTTAAGAGTTTGATAAGCCTCTCTAATATATTCTCGGGGCGAGAGTGTATTTGTCGTAGAACTGATAGTCTTGCCGTATTTGAAAAGGATTTTCCAAACCATTTTATTCGAATTGTTTTGTAAACTAGGTTTCCATATTTTTGCTTAAGAGTCTCAGCTTATGAGTGTGACTAAGATAGTTTTGGGTGAAATCTCTTTCTGACACCTTGAACCATAGTTCACATGTGTATGCACATAAGTCAGTAGCTTACTTTGACATCGAGCTATTTGGCCATAGGGTGAGGAAATTATTATAATTTGTTATTTATCAACGGACTGCATATTTTGTTCCATAACCTGTCACAGACCGCCCTAGCAAGTCTGTTTGTACATTTCAGTGAGTAATTGTTTTTGGCAATCAGTAGTAATTAAGTGACTTAGAGATCCCAAACCGATTCTATGGCTTTGCCTGGCAACTAGTATCATCAGCTGTCACAACAGATGCGGGACATAATCGGGAAAATAAATCTGTAAACAGTTGTGAAGTCATATGATTATCAATATTGTTGCTTTGAAGATAGAAAGTTCGTTATATAGATTTAGTTTCGGGGTGGAAGTTCTCTATAACAATGAAGGGATTTAATCATAAGTTTATTTCAACTGCAGTTCGAACCACTAGACATCTAGATCGCGATTAGTACATTACTAACCTACCAGCTACAATTTGTATTTTCGTCGAAGATACCTCCGACAAACCATTTCATTAACTCAAATGCGTTTCGCACAGTCATATGAGTGCTGATAAAGCTAGAAGTACGCGGTTTGCATGGATGGTAATTGCATAATGTTAGATAGTTTTGATGATATCATCTTTGAAGTGCTTTATTTCTTCTTAGTTTATCTTTGTGAAGTTGGGCTATTTGGCAAGTCAAAATCGTTAATTTTGGCGCCAAAAGGAAGTGGTAATGAAGTCGTTAGGTATATCATTTCAATTCACCAAGACAATGCTAAGTGTATCTTCATGTTATTAACATCATTATGTGTTGAGTTTCTGAAAGGAAACGCTAAATTGAATGACTTTGATCGTTGGCCTGCCTCAGAATACTTTTCTTTATGTCATTAGAATGACTCCAGTTGTTTTCATCAATACATAGTCATTTTTGTCATGTGTTTGAACTGTGGTAAACAATTTCCGCGACTAATTTTATTGAAAGTTGATCAGATGGTAATTAAAAATTGACTAGTACTTTAAGTAGGCAACTGTTTTACATGGTTTATTATTCCTCCTAGTGCAAATCTGACCGCTTCTTATGGTGTATTGCATATGGAATATGGAGAAAGGCAACTAATTTTTGAGAAAGCAGTTATTCAAAAACTTATACAGCCATTGTACTCTATTTCAATAGTGTGGTTTACTTTGTAAAGTTTATTTTAGAGGGCCTTTCCAAAGTAGTTGCTTAGTGTTCGTTTCTAAAATAAATTTTCCAAGTGACAGAATATTTATCTAGTAGGCTATTTTTTATCTCATTTATGAAAAAACAATTCAAGAAATTGGTTTGTAATCATAAACCACTTTCTTAACATTCAAACTCATTCCATCTACATTCTTGTTCCAATTCTTGATTACTTGAGTAATTTATCTAATTGCCTAGATTACATTACTAACCTTTGGAGCAGACGATAATAATCAACAATAAATTAGTGGTCAGAATTCAATTCCTAACATATTTTTATCGTCTAACAGCCTTTGTAAAGGGAAGTGGTATAATATTTCGCGAGTAAGCTTTCACAGTCAATACAGATTGTAACTGTGAAGATCAAAATACTAAGAAGTTTAGCATTCTCAATTAAACTGAAGATGCACTGTTGAAAAGTTATTTTGAAATCTATCTGATGGCTTAGCCCCATCTTCGATGTTTTTCTGCAGTACATTAGAAATCCCCCACTATTTCAGGTTACAACTGAGACTTATTTTGTCAATCATGTTATTTGTTTCATTGAGTGTTTTCAGGGATATTGAAGCATTGTAATGATATTTCTAACGTACTAGGCGAAGTTGTATACGATAAGCATTAACAAGGGATACTTCCAAGCTGTGTGAAGGTTTGGTGCTTTTCCTTCACATCATGTTTGTACCAGATTATCTCCATGAGGTTAACATATTATTAACTCTTTGAGGTTGATCATCGTCACTTAACTTAACCAGCAGTGCTAGTTACACTACGTCACAAGTCAGTACTCATCACATGCTTTCAATTAAATGGTGTTTGATATACGCTTGTGTTATTCCGTTGCTCAAGGCACAATTTGTCTTGGAAAAATAAGCTAATTGGTGAAGTACGAAATATTGAAGCTCTGTAGGACCAATAAAACCATTTTCCAATTATACCTGTGTATTGCATTGAAATAATTGAAAGGAATACACTTTTAAATAGATGTTCA